GCACGCGCGACACACACACACACACACACACACACACACACACACACACGGAAGGGCTCTAGTATGTATATATAGCAGATTCATTATGCTTTTATTTATTTTAAAAACAAATGGATCACTTGACAGCTGATGAGCACTATCACAGATCTATTCAAACTGGATGAAGTGTTTACAACAAGGAAGTAAGTTAACTGGGTGTGTGTAATACACATAAATCAAGGGATAAATTGTTATGTGAGTAGGATTTTCTGTTAGCATTTTTATCTCCCTACCTTAGGCAAACGCTATCTAAAATAATCTACCTCTGCAAACTGCTAGGATGAGCCTGAAGAGCTTCTCGAGTCATTGCTGACGGTTTTATAGTTTCTAGACCTAAAGGACATATTAGTACCTGTAAACCATGTCACTGAACAGGCTAGTGCGTTCTTTGAAACTGTCAAACACTGTATACAACATGATGACCTAGTTCTTTAAACTGTTGGTATAAATCACGTTAAATACTTTTTGAGCTAGATACACATCACAGCCTGCCAAAACTCCAACGGGGAACCATTTAATAGTAAATATCTCCAAGAGGAAGCAAACCATTAGTCACTTCTGAAGAACAGATTACAAGGACAAGTTTATGTTTAATACACGTTAAGAGTCAAGAAGCAGCTTTATCTTATTTTTTTTCTTTAAGTTACAAGAACCTTGTCAAACTTTTTCAACACAAGCATGCTCAGGAGACTTCCTCACCTTTGCAGTGGTGCATTCAACCATCTGTGCTTCATCTAGGCAGATCCTCCACCACTCTACTGCTACTAAGGGACTTGGGATGGCCATATACCGCTTCTGGTTCCTGAAACGGCGCCCATCTTCACTGTTACTATGAGGGATGTCCACGTAGTTCAGCTCAGTGCGAAGGACATCATAAGTGGTGATGACTACCTCCTGCTCTGCTAACATGTGAGGCTGCAAGAAGCCATGTTTCTTCACACCTTGATACACCTGCACACGTTTATATATACAAACATGAGAGCAAAGACTGAAGATAAGAAATACTTCATAATGAAGTGTTAGAGCTCTTCATAGTTTTACAGAACACACACTTAAAATGTTCTTTGCATAATGTAGTGTTAGTTCATAAAAAATGGCTACTAACCTTTTCATAATTGTTGTTCCTCAAAATGCGTTGCACATGTCCATTCCACAGGAGGTGTGCATGCATCACACTCACAGTTGCCGGGGAATTTTGTCCTTCAGTGGTATCTTTCAGGACAGCTCTAGCATCCTTTGGTGCTGCACGCTTATGCACCGATATAAGGGGCCTGACTGGCTCTGCACCCTCTCAGTTCCTTCTTACTGGCTAACTCCGACAGAGGGACAGGAGAGTGGGTCATGGAATGGACATGAGTAACACATTTAGAAGAACAGCAGCTATGGAAAAGTTAGTACCCTTTTTTTTCCCATCGAGTGCTTGCTCAAGTCCATTTCACGTTAGGTGACTCCCAAGTGGAACCTTAGGAAGTGGTTCATAGACATGCGGATTGCAACACTGCTCTACCAAACCCAGCATCATCTCTAGCCTGCTGTGTGATGGCATAGTGAGATGAAAAGGTATGCACCAATGACCAAGTCACCACTCTATAAATATCCTGGATTGGGACCTGGGCCAGAACCACCACTGAGGAAGCTTGAGCTCTCATCGAGTAGGCAAGTCAAGATGGCAGGAGGTGGAGCACCCGCCTGCTCATAGCACATGCAAATGCAGGAAGTGATCCAGGATGAAATTCTTTGGGCTGAAATTGTAGGCCTTTCATCCTGTCTGCTATTGCCAGGAAGAGCTGCGTGGACTTACAGAACAGTTTGGTCCTTTTTGTATAGAAGGTGAGGGCCTGCCTAACATCCAGTGTGTGTAGACGCTACTCCTCCCTATTCTTGTGCGATTCCAGGAAGAATACTAGCAGAAATATAGACTGGTTACTATGCGTGAAACTACCTTTGGGAGGAACGCGAGGTTGGGGAGAAACTGTACCTTATACTTAAAGAACACCATATACCGGGGGGGGGGGGGGAGAGGGGCTGAAATAAGGCCCCATAGAGACCATCCTGGCTGAGGTAATCAGTAATAGGAAAGCGACCTTCCAGGAGTGGTACGACAAGGGGTATGATGCCAGCTGCTCAAAGGAAGGGCCTGAGAGTCTTAACAGGATCAGGTTTAGGTCTAATGGTGGAATGGGTTCATTAATTTGTGGTTATAATCTCTATAAGCCCTTAAGAAAGTGAATGGACATTTTATGTGAAAAAAACAACAACCTACCATCCATTGGAGGATGGAAGGTGGAGATGGCCACTAGGTGAGCTCTAACTAGCGAAATGGCTAGGCCCTGCTGTTTCAGATGAAGCATATACTCCAAAAGTGAGTGGAGAGGTGACCTCGTTGGGATGACCACAAGGAGAAATGCTTTCACTTGGCGAGGTAAGTCACTCTAGTAGATGATTTCCTACTATCTAGCAATACCTGGCAGACTCCGAACAGGCCAGCTCCGCTTCCATGGAGCTTCCACGCAGTCAAGTGTAGGTTCAAGTGGTGCAATCGGCTGTGGTCTTGCGAGATCAGGTCTGGGAGGGGAGGGAGCGGCATTGGGTCACTCCTGACAGATCTGAAAAGGTGCCAAACCAGTGCTGGTGTGGCCATGCTGGGGCCATAAGAATAACCTTTGCTCTATCCTGCTTGACCTTGAGTAAGACTTTGTGCATGAGAGGAATGGGGGAAAAACACATAGAACAGATGCTTTGTCCAATGGAGCAGGAAGGCAACCGTAAGCAAGCCCAGGCTGCACCCACGTAGAGAGCAAAACTGCTGACACTTCTTGTTTTGCTTGGTTGCAAACAGATCTCTGAGGGGAATCCCCCACCACTAGAATCCCCCACCACTGGGGTGAAGGGACCACTCATGGTGAGAGGAGAAAGATCTGCTGAGGTAATCTGCCAGGTTGTTTCAGGCTCTTGGAAGGTGAGAGGCTTTGAGGTGGATCGAGTGCTTCACACAGAATAACCACAAGCAAATGGCCTCTTGACACAGGGTGGGGAAGAGCATGTCCCTCCCTACTTGTTGATGTAAAACATGTCTGCCATATTGTCCATAAGGACTCACTCAACCTTGCCTACAATCTAGAGTATAAACACCTGGCATGCTAGGCGAACCACTCTGAGTTCTCTGACATTTATATGTAAGAAGAGTTCCTCCTGGGATCACAGACCTTGAGTTTGAGTTGCTCAAGGTGAGCTCTCCAACCTAGCTCGGATGCATCCAAAGGTTAGGGATACTGATGGTTAGGGACTGATGAAGGGAATGCCCATGCCTACCGAACAGGAGTCCCTTCACCAATCTAGAGAGGCGAGGACCTGGGTGGGAACTGTAAGCACCGAGTCCAAATGATGATGGCTTGGCATGTACGCTGAGGCCAGCCACACTTGAAGGGGTCGGAGGCACAGTCTCACAAGCGGTACTATGTATGTGCATGCGGCCATATGATCCAATAGTCTAAGGCAAAAACAGGCGGTCAAGGAGGACGGAGTTTGCCACAAGGCTTTTACCGGTCCAATAATGGCCTCATGGGGGGAGGGGAGGGGTCACCTTCGATAGGCTCACAGCAGACAAGTTTTCAACCAGGCTGTGGAAGGACTAACTACCTCCACTTCCAGCCCAAGGTTCGAGGCCACTCTTTTCAACAGCTCCTGGTGAGCTACTTACTAAGTCATTGTGTGGGAGGGGATAAACACACCCCAAACACTGCCTCATCTGGGTGAGGAGGAAGAAGAGGATGGCACCAATTGGGTCCCATAAATCTGTCCTGCACCAATTGGGTCCCATAAATCTATGTCCTGATGCTTGGTACCACAGTCCATGTTGGATGCCAGTCGTATGGGTGGGGGCACTTCATTCCGACACTATGGATTACGAGCATCTGAAAGAGGGCTCTTGCATGGGGGAAACCCCCACAGGTTCCAAAAAGGCCATTGCATCTGCATAGGCCAGTGCCCACTGTCCCAAGTGCTTGGCAGTACCCCTGTACCTGGGTCCATTGACTGGTAGGGCTGCCTGGGAGGGAACTGGCTGTGGCTCCTCAAGTGGAAATACGACTCCACTTCCAAGTCCAATGACGAGCCTTCCTCCGGGGACCATGGAGGGGTGGTATACATCGGTGCCAGGGAGAGAAGACCTGCATTGGGGGAAGCAGGGATGGTTTCCCTCTAGAAGGTACCAAGGAGGCCGGTACCGAACTGGCGCTTCGGCCACATGCTCCCTGGTATTGATGCCACTGACTCCTGTACCGACGGTGACAGAGGCACCAAAAGCCAGGTCTCTGGCCACAACCAACGCCTCCAGGGTACATGGTACGACAATCCCGCTGGTACCGCATTGCCCCTCTGAAGCAATGGGATGGCCCGGGACTCGACTCAACGGAGCCTGCCTACGAGGCAGAGTTGATGATGCCCTCCTCGGAGCAGGGGCAGAGGAGTGGCCAGACGCTGTCTCCACTGCGCTCCCTGTGCTTGACCCTCTTCAAAGTCAGGGAACGTCCCCTCTCGGTCAGCTGCTTCTTACGTTTTTTCTTCAGCACCAGTGAAGGAGAATGGTGCCGAGAGTCTCTCATGGCAGGAGTAGCACTCTGTACTGACTCCAAGGTACTGGGTGCTGAGTTGGACCAGCTTAGCTCCGAAGAGGGACAGAGCGCTGACTCCATCATGAGGGACTTCAAGCTGGCCTCCCTGTCCTTCATACAGGGTTTGAAGTGTCAGCAGATCTGGCAGTGGTACCTGATATGAGTCTCTCCGACGCACTTCAGACAACTGAAGTGCAGGTCACTCAGGGGCATGAGCTTGCTGCAGAAGGCCCAGGGATCGAAACCCGGGAATCAAGGAATGCTCTGGCACTGGGGACAGACAAAACTCCACTAACAGAGCGAGAAACGCCAACTAACTATATACAACTAATCTACAACAGTCCAAACTGTGAAATTAAAGAACAAGGATAGGGAAACAAGGGAAAAGGACTAAACTAAGACCACTGAGTAAGAGTTTGCCAAAGGAAAAGAAGATGCTCCAGTGACTATCATGAGCAGTAAGAAGGAACTGGAGGGTGTGAAGCTAACTGGGCCCTTATACCAGCGCACAGGCACACAGCACAAGAGGGTGCTCCAGCCAGCCCGACAGATATCACTGAGGGGAAAAACTCTCTGGAGAATCTAGAGCGCGCACACCTAACATGGAAAGAACATCTGAACTCAAAATTATTATTAAATTATAGAATGGAAAGGAAATTGGGCTTCCCAATTGATTCCCTCACCCCCGCAAGAAAATAAAAGGATTTTGGTACTTCATACTACAGCTGTATTTCAGCTTAGCTGCTTTAACATGGATTTAACATCAACAATGTTATGGAAACAATGGTTAAAGCATGCACTTTTTTCCCACAGCAGAATATCATGGTAGAATAGGCAAAGATAGAAACATGCAGTCAAACACCTTTAGGAACAGGAACAAAGTGTGAACTTGAGTAGACTACTATTTCTATCCTCCAAGGAATCTCCGAGAAGAATCAATGGAACACATGGAATGAACATGAAAGATGGTGGTAAAAGCACCAACAAAGTCCATAAATGTCCTCTAGTGACCTTCCACCAGAAGTCTTATAATAAAAGTATCTTTATTATTATTTATTATAACAGAATGTGTGTATCTGTCTCTCTTTTACCTCAACATTTTCAATGGGATCCTTTGTGAAGCATACAGTAGTTGAAAGGGGAAAAAACCTAAATTCATGAGATAAATTAAGGCTTGTAACTGATGTATTTCAGTGTTAAAATGTTACATCTGCAGCAAAGTGCAATAACTATTGTAAGCTTAAAACTTTATGTATACTTTGAGTACTTTAAAATATTAACATTGTTAGATTTCAGACTGTACGTGCCATACTCCTAGAATTTAACCAGATACTGTATATTTTCTAGTTTCCCTGATCTTATTTCCCGTGCCTTGTGCCACAACAGTCTCTGCCAACCAGGAGTAATTGCAGGTAAAATCCTGCGTAGCTTCTGTGGCCCCAGGATAGAACGTGTTTAGTCACTCTGTGGTGACAGGGCATATACTATCTGGTTGGTATGTGGCAGCTGTGAGGGGTTAGATTGCTCAGTGCAGACAAAAATCTTAGGAGAATTAAGCTGCCAAATTCTAACCTCCATGAAGCACGTGCAAATTGAGATTTTTCAGAAGTTTATAGCTTGGCCAAATATGGGAGAATTTTCAGATGGATGGTGAAATGCACAATCCTGACAAAGGCCACTCTTCTGCCAAATTTGATTTATGTCTTATGTTCCTAAAAGCTCACACTTTTGGGTTTCAGCCAGTCACCTGCAGGGGTCAGGAAGGGATTCCCCCTCTCCTCTCAATGTATTCTGCGGTGATTTTTGGTCTCCCTCTTTTGAAGCATCAAAGATGGTCATGCCTGGACATCAGACACTGGATGGGATGAGAGAGTGCTCAGAGGTGGCTTCAGGTGCTTAACTGGTTGGTTCTTACCTCACATGCACAAGTTATAACTGATCACTATATGTGGTGTTGGGAAGGAATTTCCCCCCAGGTCAGATTGGCAGTGACATTAGGGGGTTTTTTTTGCATTCCTCTGCAGTGTGAGAGTGTGGGTCACTTGCCAGGATTTATCTGGGTGTATCTCACATAATTGTTTTCCTGCCACTGCAGGGGCTTTGGGTATTGGTGCACCTCAGTCACTCCTATTCTCTCCCTGTGACACATAATGCTCCAGTCTTCTGTGTGCTGTGTAATATGGTCTAATTTCAGTTATTGAGTTTAGTGGAGAGGTGCTGGGTGGTGGTGGTGGCCTGTACATGAGGTCAGACTAAATGATCTGGTGGTCCCTTCTGAACAAACTCTATGACAATAAACCCACTGGTAATTGATGAAACAGGAAAGTTTGTTTTCCTCTTCCAATCTACGAATCTAGGTATGAGAGGATGAGATGAAATCATCTTACCAGGACTCGAAGGGAAGATGATCTCACATGCCTGTTGATCTCATCCACCCACTGATGGCAGATGGAACTTGGAGAGATTATCAGAGTGGCTCCTGTAGAAACTGGTTTCATTGCTACTAGGCAATGGGGACAATAAAAGGGCTTAATCTTCAAGTTTTCCTCTTTGTAGTTTACACATTCAGCATGCTGCCATAGGTGGCACTTCAGGCACTGCACACGGGCCTTGCAGTCAACCAAGCCAAGCTCACCACAAATGCATTCAAAACGATAGTCAGAGGTGTTGAATGGAAAAATGGAACTGGCATGCTGTATGACACTGCCAGCACGTTCTTGGGAGTCTGAAGACTGGTCCTTTAGGACTTCCGCATCATCTGTATTTTTAGATGCAGTGAGGACAGGATTGGTGGAATCACTGGACATGAGGTCGCCTTGCAAATCAGCAGACTCCAAGTCCATAACTCTTGGCTGAAGATTTTCTTCTTTTATGCAAATCTTTTGGCCTGTCTCAGACTTTTTGTTATTTTTGCTAGTTGTACAGTAGTCATGGTCTTCTGCAGGAATGTCCACCAGCCGGGGTGGTTTGACTTTTTCTGAAGATGTGACCTTACTTGCTGATTCTTTGGTTTGAGTTTTAGCATTAGGCAAAGATGTCTTCTGAATCCTTCCAGAACTCCTTGTTGTCTAAAAAATAAAGTTAATTTTAACTGACTAATTTTTTTTTTGTTCTTTGATGAGGAAAGTATAGCCACCTTGGGAGTAAACTGTTAACATTACATATATCTTCTGGTTTGGACTGGGTTTTGGGGACCAAGTACTCAATATTTGTTTAGGGTTTTTCGAAGTGTTTCACAAACCTTTTGGTCACAAAACTGTAACATCTGCCAACCCTTACAGCAATGTCTTCAAAAATTTATGAAGGACATAGTGAAAGTTTTTAACCCCAAAACTTGACCTACTTTGGGTTTTATTTTTGTTTTTCTTTTTGGTACAGTCTACATATTGTAATTCTTTATTTTTGTTTTCAAAGCAAATACCTGAGGTTTTTGTTTAAAATAAAAGTCAATACCATCAAGCAAGCATTAATGGGGATCCCTTTAAATAGCATCACTCTGGCACCATGTAATTGGAAAAAATAAAACAGCTTCATCCAACATTTGCCTTAATTGATACTTTCAACTCTCATTTTACCTGTTTTTTGGTTCTCTCATGCCTCTTTTGTTCTTTGTAATTCTTCCCCAACTTGAAAGATCCAGCCAGACCATGACCTTTAACCTGCTCTACTACTTGTTCTGCAATTAGTTTTTCCAAAGTTCTTTTGAGAAGACGCCGGTTTCTCTGTATGTCATATCTATATATGGCACTGACATACTTAAATATTGCAATGATGGAAGCTCCCTTCTTCACATTCATTTCCTTGACAGCTGCTAAGATCATCACCCGTAAGCCTACATGCAGAACGAAACTACGGTTCAGATAAAATGAAAAGTTATATGGGAGAAAATGTATTCATGTAGCTCTGTAAATGCCTGCAAGTGAATTAAAAGCTGGAAAAAAAAAAAACCTAAGATCGACAACAGAGTAAGCAGTCCTGCTCAAGCTAGTCTTGCAGACCATTACTTTTCAGTCAAGATATTCAATACTGTCTAAGAGTACATATAACAGTGGAAACAAAGAAATCTTGTTTTTATTAACAGGGATATGCAAGTACAATATTTTGGTCTGGTCAATAAACCATCTTGTCAGAATGGCTCTACTCTAGGTAAAGCTGTGCTGCATGGAGTTCTATAATGCAGCTCACCACTGGTTTTACTTTAAAATGGTTTTATCTTTAAGATGGTTTATTATGGTTTATTAGTAAGGATGATTACAGTTCCCAGAGTGCAGTGCTATATTCTGGAGGAAAACTATACCTCTGCATCAGAGATAAGGCCAACTGCTCCCCTCATACAAATCAGGTGCAGCCCTTGCGCTCCTGGTAAGTTGCCAATACAACCTCAATAAGCAAACTGTTTTACATAAAATTTTCTCTCTCCATGAATACTTACTGGGATACTGTACTTTCTCCTTTGACTTAAGCTCCACTTTCTTTGTTTTTTCTTTTTGTTTCCTTCAGTAGGCTGGGGTGGAACGAAGAAGTTCACCAATTTACCCTAATAAAAACAACATACAATATCGGTAGCAGGACATATATCTGTGACATAATTTTGAACTGTTTTATGAAATTAATATTTTCAAATAGCAGACTAGCAAAAAGCATTGTTACTTCAAAGTCATCAGTTCCCCATTAAATACGTTCACAGAACCACAGGAATTGCCATGCTGGATCAGACCCAAGGTCCATCTAAACCATTTTCCTCCTTCAGACAGTGACCAGTGCCAGATGCTTCAAAGAAAGGCGCAAGAACTTCATGGTAGGCAGATGTGGAATAATCTGCCCTCCACATTAAGTTTCACCCTGATCTTTAATAGGTTGAAACTGACGAATTCTGAAGCATGAATTTAAGAGCTCTTCTGAAACTGCTGTTATTAAATTATAACTCTGGATATTCTTGATATCCATATAAATATCCAATCTTTTCTCAATTCTTGTTAAGTTCTTAAACGCCACAATTTTCTGTGCAATGAGTTCCACGGTTTAATTATACATTGTATAAATATTTCCTTTGATCAGCTTTGAAATCCCAACCTTTTAATTTCATTGACTGTGTCCTTATTCTTGTGATAGGAGACAACAGAAAATTCTTATCTACTTTCTGTATACCACTCATGATTTTATATACTTTTATCATGTCCCTTTTTATTCATCTCATTTCTTAGGTAACACTCCCAATCTTTTTCATCTTTCTTTATAGGATAATTTTTTCCAGGTCCCTGACCATACTAGTTCTGTAATATTCTTTTAGAAATGGGTATTTCAGTACTGCATGCAGTATTCAAGGCCACACCACTGATTTACATAAAGACATAATAATAATCTTTGAATTATTCATCATCCCATCCTTTATGCATCCTTATATCTTGTTAGCTTTTCTAACTGCTGCTGTACATTGAGTTTAAGTCTTCATTTAGCTATCTATAATGATGCTCAGCCCTTTTCTTGAGTTGCTACAGTTAACTGAGAAAGTGTATGAGTACTTTAATTGACACTGGATTTAATTTGCCATCATGTTGCCCAATCACCTATCTTGTTTTGCTCCCTTTGAAGTTCCTCACAATCTTCTCTGGTGCAAACTAACCTAAAAAATTGCATGTAATCTGCACTCATCCCCCTTTTCATATAATTAATAAATATATTAAACAGCACAGGACTTAGTACATAACCTTGAGGCACCCCGCTGTTAACCTTTTGTCATGACAAAAATAGACCATTTAATCCTACTCTTTGCTTTGTCTCCTAGGGAGCTTGCCTCTCACCCTACGTCTAATTAGTAGCCTCTTGTGTGGAACTTTGTCAAAAGCCTTTAGGAAGTCTAAATAAACTTATGTCCACTGGCTCTTCTTTAGCCACCACCATATTGACCAGCTAAAAGAATTCTAAGAGATAAGTGAGACAGTTTTCCTATGCACAAACCATATTAGTTAGACTGTATCATATCATGACCTTTCTAGTTCTATATTATTTTATCTTATCATTTCATCCAGTTGTCTAGGTACACATTTAAAGTTTACTGGTCTATAATTCCCCAGATCATCCTTAGACCCTTTTGTAAATATAGATACATTTTCTACCCTCCAATTCTTAGGAACAGTGGCTGTTTATAATTAGAAACTGCATATTTGTTAGCACCTCCATCACTTCATACTTAAGTTCCTTCTGAACTCTTGGATGTATCATCAGGGCCTCATGACTTTCTGCTTTTTAATGTGAAAGATAAGGTGGGTGAGGTAATATTTTTTTATTGGACCAACTTCTGTTGGTGAGAGAGGTAAGCTTTCGAGCCACGAAGAGCTGTGTGTGGCTCGAAAGCTTGCCAACAGAAGTTGGTCCAATAAAAAAAATATTACCACACCCATCTTGTCTCGCTAATATCCTGTGGGACTACCACAGGTACAACTACACTGCTTTTTAATTTAGCAGTTTGCTTCAGCACCTCTTTTTCTGATATCACAATATCCAAGACTACACATAAGAAAGGCCATACTGGGTCAGACCAAAAGGTCCATCTAGCCCAGTATCCTGTCAATGCCAGGTGCCCCCAGAGGGAATGAACAGAACAGGTAATCATCAAGTGATCCATCCCCCATCGCCCATTCCCAGCTTCTGGCAAACAGACTAGAAACACTATCCCTGTCCATCCTGGCTAATACCCATTGATGGACCTATCCTCCATGAATTTAGCTAGTTCTTTTTTGAACCATGTTATAGTCTTAGCCTTCACAACATCCCCTGGCAAGAAGTTCCACAGATTTACTGTGTGTTGTGTGAAGAAATACTTACATTTGTTTGTTTTAAACCTGCTGCCTATTAATTTCATTTGGTGGCCCCTAGTTCTTGTGTTATGAGAAGGAGTAAATAACACTTTCTTATTTACTTTCTCCACACCAGTCATGATTTTATAGACCTCTATCATATCCCCCTTAATCATCTCTTTTCCAAACTGAAAACACAGTTTTATTAATCTCCCCTCATACCGCAGTCGTTCCATACCCCTAATCATTTTGTTACCCTTTTCTGAACCTTTTCCAATGCCAATACATCTTTTTTGAGATGGGGCAACCATATCTGCATGCAGTATTCAAGATGTGGGCATACCATGGATTTATATAGAGGCAATATGATTTTCTGTCTTACACCATCTTTATTAGCAGAAAAGATCAGATCTAGAACAAAAATCGCCCAACATTCTCAGCAGTGAAGATCAATAAAAAAAAATTAGCTTTTCAAGTGTCCCTGTCTTTCTCAATTGCTCCTTTGAATTCTGGTGATCCAGTGAACCCACTGATGTTTTGCAGGCTTCCTGCCTCTGATATATACTTAAATAATCTCTTAGATTTTTTAAAAAATATAAATAAACTTTAAGTTATTTGAGCTTTGAAATCCATTCTGGCTGTAATTTATGCTCCTGTTTATTGGCTTCACTTCACAAAGGTCAGATTTCCAAAGTTTGAAAGATTTCTGTTTGGGTTGAATAGCCTGTTGTAACTTTCCATTTAGTCTTCAAATTATTTATTTGTATTACTCGAGTGCCTAGAAGCCCTAATCATAGACATTGTGCTAGGTGCCATACAAATACAGAACAAAGGACAGTCCTTGCTCCAAAGAAATTACAATCTTGGCTTACTCCTTACCGTCATGGTTCCCCTTTTCCTCAGCAGTACACACATCCTGCGAGACTAATTTTTAAGTAGCATCCAAGCCACCTCTATGGATTTTACTTTCTTTAGTTTTTATTTTAGGGACCTTTTGACTAAACTGCTCATTTTGTTGAAAATTCTTTCCAAAATTTCACATCACTTTTTGAAGCATCACCTGCCCTTTAGATGTTTAACCTAATTATATATTGTGGTCACTATTACTTAGTGGATCAGCTACTGTCACTGAATTAACTCCTGTGTGTTACTTAAGACAAAGTCAAGATTAGCCTCTTTTAGTGTGCTTCAGAACTAGCTGTCCCAAGAAGCAATCACTTAAGCATCAAAAAGCTGTTTCTCCAGACAATGTCTTGTTAGTGCCACTTGACCAGCTGGGTAATTAAAATCCTCCATTATCATCATTTTATTAGATTTTGTTGCCTCTGATCTCTCTCAACGTTGTGTATTCAATTTCCTTTTCTTGATTCAGAGGGCAGCAATGTGCCCTACTATTTACACTTTCATAGACTGGGATTTCTATCCCTAATAGATTCAACTGCATGGTGCTTTTCATTCATTATTTTTCTCTCATTAGATTCCATGGAATTCGTTAGATACAGTACTACTCTCCTACCTCTTTGGTGACGGCCATCTTTCCTGTATGGTTTGTAACCAGGTCTTTTAGTAACCCACTGGCTTTTGACATTCCACCACATTTTTGTAATGCCTGTTATATCAAGGTCTTGGTCCATTGCAAGGCATTCTATTTAACCTGTTTTTGCTTTTAAACTTCTTTCATTTATAGCTTTTAATCGTGAGTAGGTGTCTGTTTCTATGTAACTCCATAATCTGACTTCTTACTGATTTTACAGAATTTACATCTGTGTTTTTATCCTGCTCCTGTTCTAGTTCAGCTGCAATTTGCATCCTACCCTGGCAACTTTTGAAGGCATGCTCATAAAAATCAAGACATTAGAGGTCTGCTTCTGCCTAATTTTTAAGCACTGTACACCTCAGCACACTCACTATACAGTGCACACAGCACAACTAGGTGGCAGCAGCCAGCAAGAGCGAGGCACAGAGCCAACCCCATGGGCAGGAGGAGAAGAGCTAACCTGAGCCTGGTAGATTGGGTTTTTTTTACAACCCAACCAGACACTTGCAGTAGGCCCCGTTGATTTTAGGATAAGTTGTAGGGTTCTACACTGTCAAGTACAATACACAAAATTTTAATATTTGAAAGAAAATAGGTTGTTACAGTAAGTCTTTTAGATGGCAAGATTCTATGAAGAAACATACATGGATAGAGACCTCTAATATTTTTAATGAAATACATGCTACTGGGAATTGTATGATTATGAGAGACTTTAATTTCCCAGATATAGATTGCAAGACAAGTGCTACTAACAACAGTAGGGCCCAGATATTCCTGGATGTGTTGGCTGACAGATTTCTTCACCAAGTAGACACCAAACCAACTAGATGGGATGCCATTTTAGATTTAGTATTGGTAAGTGGCAAGGACCTCATAGAAAAGCTGCTTGTTGAAGACAGCCTTAGTTTGATTGACCATGAACTAATTCAGTTTAAACTAAATGGAAGGATAAACAAAAATAGGTCTGCAAATAGGGTCGCTGACTTCAAAAGGGCAAACTTGGAAAAAAATCATGGGAATTAGTCAGGGAACGGGACTGGACTGAAGAACTCCAGGATCTGAAGGTGGAGAAGGGTTGGAATTACATTAAGTCAAAGTTGCAGAAGCTATCTGAAGCCTGAATCCCAAGCAAAGGGAAAAAATTCATAGGAAAGGGTCACAGACCAAACTGGATGAGCAAGAATCTCAAACAGAGTATTAAGAGAAAGCAGAAAGCTTACAAGAAATGGAAGATGAGAAGGATCAGCAAGGAAAGCTACCTCTTGGAGGTCAGAAAGTGTAGGGGAAAAGTGAGAACTGTCAAAAGCCGAGCAGAATTGAACCTTGCAAAGGAAATTAAAACCAATAGTAGAAGGTTCTATAGCCATATAAATAAAAAGAAAACAAGGAAAGAAGTGAGACCGCTAAGCATTGAGGATGGGCTGGAGATTAAAGATAATTTAGGCATGGCTCAACACCTAAACAAATACTTTGCCTCAGTTTTTAATAAGGATAATGAGGAGTTTTCATCAGTGACAGGGTAGCTAATGGAAATGAGGATATGGAAGTAGCAATTACCACGTCTGAGGTGGAAGTCACAGTCAAAGAGCTTAATGGGATCAAATTGGAGGGATCAAAATGCAAGAATATTAAAGGAGTTGGCACACTAAATAACAAGCCCAACAGGAAAGATTTTTAATGAAGGGGTTGTACCCTGTGACCAGAGAATTGCTAATATAGTACCTATTTTTAAGAAGGGGGGGGAAAGTGACCCAGGAAACTACAGGCCCATTAATTTGACCTCAATTGTACACAAATTTTGAAAGAGAGAGTAGTTAAGGATAGAGGTAAATGGTAATTGGGATAAAATGCAACATGGTTTTATGAAAGGTGGATTGTGCTAGACCAACCTGATCTCTTTCTTTGAAAAGATGACTCATTTTTTAGACAAAAGAAATGCAATAAGGATCTACCTGAATTTCTGTAAGGCACTTGATGCAGTTCTACATGGGAAATAATTAGGTAAACTGGAGAAGATGGGGACTAATATGAGAAGTGAAAGGTGGGTAAGGAACTGGTTAAGACTGGAGATTACAACGAGTCATACCGCAACGTAAAAGGTCAGGCTGGAGAGAAATTACTAGTGGAGCTCCTCTGGGATCAGTCTTGGGACCAATCTTATTTAACATTTTCATTCAAGACCTTGGCACAAAGTGGATGACACAAAATTGGGAGGTACTGCCAATATGGAGGAGGACTAGAATATCATACAAGAATATATGGAGGACTTGAAAACTGGAGTAATAGAAATGGGATGAAATTTAAGAAAGATTAATTTAAACTGGAACAGGTGCAGGGAAGGGCTACTAGGATGATCAGAGGTGTAGAAAACCTATCTTATGAGAGGAGACTCAAGAAGACTTGGCTTGTTTAGCCTAACCAAATGAAGGTTGAGGGGAGATATGACTGTTCTCTATTAGCACATCGGAGGATAAAAAATACCAGGGAGGGAGAGGAGTTATTTAAGTTAAGCGCCAATGTTGACACAAGAACAAATGGATATATGCTGGTATTAGGGTGACCAGATCACCAAAGAAAAAT